AAAAATTAAGCAGAATTATGAGAGGAAAATATATAAAAAAAAACAAAAATGGAAAACAACAACAACAACAAAAAAAGAAAACAAACACAACACTAAACAAATTTTTTTGTTTTTTTCATTTTTTTTTAAAATAAACATATAAATAGTACGTTATGCATGGATTGATTTGTGCTTATGTTGTGATTGAATAATAATGAAAATAATAGGGAGAGAGAGAGAGAGAGAGAGAGAAATAAAGGGGCGGGTATTATTTATTTATCTAATTATGGACAAATAAATTTTTATAAATGGTTAATTGAGTTTAACAATAAGCCTTAGTTACTAAATGTATCCCAGGTAACATATTGTGATTGGTATCTATTGCATATTATATAACTGTATATGTAAGTAAATGTATAGTTGTCATAGGAATTTTTCTTCTTAAATACAACACTAATTGACATGAAAGAATTAATGCTTTTTTATGTCATAGTTATGATTATAATAATAAATTATATCAATTATAATACTGAATGATAAAGGTAAAGCCTTAGTCAGTTATATCGTGATATAAGCTACTTATATCCACATAAGTAGTATATAACAATAGTCAGGTATTAAATGTATTTCAATAGAAGATCGAAAAGGAAATAAGGAGAACAGAAAGAAATTGGTATAAAAATACAGGACAAATGAAATCTAAGATGATAGATTGATATTTACAAATGGAACAATCAAGTATGAGATAATACAAATTAAGTGTTCACTGTATTTTCATGAAATGTACTGTAAGTTATGTGTTGGAATATATACACTCCAATATTGTATATTGTATGGTATTCAGTAATGTTTTAAAAATTGATTACTCAAATTTAATTTAGTTAAAAGATTGAAAACTGGAATCATTCTAAGATATATATATATATATCTTTTTCTGTAAAGTAATATATTCAAAGTTCATATTGAATACCATTAATAGATATAATGTATTTGTTTTTTTAATAAAAATAATTGGTTAATTATAATTTCAAAATGTAATTATTTATATTAATATGGTACTGTTGAGGAGTTTCATACAAAGACGAAACAGTCGTCTAGTATTTTCAACTTTTTTATGATGTTCTCGCTTTATATGAAACTTTGTTAAGAATTAAAATTTCATGTCCTTATTTACAATAATTAAATCAAGTATATTTTAATAAATTTTAATTAATGAGTTGATCTCTCATATCTTTAGTTATGACGTTGATTACAATGTGATTTATGGTAAATTATCTACTCACAGTTTTTGTCTAAAACTGGCACTCATTAAAACATTAAAAATTTAAATAATAATAAAAAAAAGAATGAATAGCTGCTAAGTGAAATTTTTAGATTTTTGGAGAGTTGGTAATTATGATAAAATTGTTGATCTAGTTTAGGACTTACTAATTTTGTAGTTACTATGAACTTGTTTTATTATTAATTTACAATTGATTGATTATTGGGTGATGATCAATATCATGTATATCAGGTCCATCTTACTGTAGATCGAATCTTATTAACTAAGTTACAATGTGGCGATCAGTCTAGGTGATTCGAACTTGAAGCTATATCAGGTATGAATAGCTGAGTGGTAACATCTCTGACTATGAAGCCTGGGTAACATATAATGTAATCTATTAGAAAGTATCAGTTCCTTCAAGATTACAAGTATACCCTACTGATGAGTACTAAATAACACGAAACCTAGGTCCAGAGTTTCTTGTTCACTACCTCTAACCACTATCAGAATCATTCATTTGAAAATTTAATGAATGAATTTTTAAACTTCAGTAAACCTTTAACAATCATCCTAACATTTTATTCTATTTATCTAACTGATAAACTTAGTTTTCACTCTTCTTTCTATTATTATGATTTTACAAACTTGTCCTAGATCTATGAATTAGATTACTAAATAGAAATTTCACACACATTTCAATTTATTGTTATGATTATATGCTAATGTTTAGTATTTTAGTAAGAAAAACAATTTACTATTACAATCCAATAGGTAAGTTGAATAAGATGAGACTCTAATTTATCAACAAGCCATTCAGAAGCGTTTTAAAAACTTCAAGTTTATGGTATCAACTACAGTGTTTAATGCTATAATAAATAAAACGGTGAGATTATAATTTGTGGACAAAACAATCAGGTATAAGTTAACAAATCTCGGATTTTAACGCCAAAGCCTTTGATCCATTTGGCTAAATAAATTTTATGGCATTATAGCTGATGTCAGTTCGTGATGAAAACCCTATAAATAATTCCTAACTAAGGCAAATTATGACAATTATCGCGAACTGGATAATAAAAACACTAGTTACATCTGGCTGCAGCCAAGTACTACAATATCTACGGATGTTTGGAGACTGTACAGACTCCTACTTAGGTTTGTTTATGTGCATTGTGTCGTTATCCACAAGTAGCATTTTATGTACTCAACAGTCGGAGTGCACATAAACAATATACAAACCATGAGGTCGAGGCTGAAAGAGTTTTTAAGATTTTATCATATCTTCAGAGGCCGACTATTCTGTAACTGTATGGATGATTTCCTCTACTGTATGCATTATGATTTTAGAACTTCTGAACCTCTTCTTAACCTTGACAAGTTTTGTTAACCACGTATAGGAAGTGTATCCACTTTATTTCTTTCGTTTTGTACATTTTTACTCTAAAATGACTGCTTGCTGATTGTCTAATCTTCTCAAGGTCACTTAAAACTCGTTCCAAGGTCGTCCATAAATTAGAGTTTCGCTTTTGAATAATATTAGTAGTTGAGAGCTTGATTCAAGTCAGTAACTGATTGGTTTAACTTCAATAGATTGATAGGAGTTCAACTGCATCACTCAGAGTATATTAACATGATGAAAGATTTCAATATAGAATCAAAGAAATAAACAATTTTCACAAGTTCTAAGTTATGGTAGGTCAAACTACATTGTATACAATGAATAAATGTTGATAGTTATTGTCGTATTTACAGCAGAGCGATGGGGGGGGGGAAGAAGATTGAGTAAGTACAAAATCTACAAAGACAATAAGACTATAATAATATGAAACATGAGAATATTATACCTTACTATGGTATTAAAGAATGATATAGTCTTACAAATAACTTACAGTTCATTCATATAACCACTCTCATGTATTTAGATTTGTAATATGATATAACTTATGCATAATCAAACTAATTCCATCTTGAACTCATAAAGATTATATTACATACATTTGAATAAAACTAAGCAATTAAGCTACTTGTATTCATTAACATAACAAATCTGATTTTGATTTTATAAGAAATCAAGTGTTGAATAGTAAATAGACATTTTAAGCTTAATACAATGATCTATTGTTAGAATCATTTTGGAAGTAAGAATCATAAATTGTAGAATTAAACTGAAATGATACATATAGTATGTCATCTTTAACGTTATATTCAACAACTTTCTTTTTGAAAGCTTTAAAACAGTCATGGATATGAATAATAAATAGATCACTGATGTACAAATTCTATTCTTGCCTTCATTTGATATAATGATTATGATGAACGAGTTTATATATTAGTTATATGCTTGAGTATTATGAATGGGAATTGTAGAATGTAGTTCATGTCAATGAGTACTAGTGTGAGGATTGTGTAGATTATAGACTGTTATTGAGATTACGAACCGATATTATTTATGTTATAGTAAAAGATTCTTCACTAGTTCAGTACTTATAGATTTTCAATGAATACCTAATTTCATTTAGTTTATGATATCGACAAGATTCAATGATCAATAGAGATAGTTATCATATGTTGACTAGCTACTGGTTTCGTGAGGAAATTTTCATTGTTTTAGTAAGAATCTGTGACTAGTGAAGTACAACCATGTCAGGTGTGAGGAAGGTACCAACTGGAGACAATCGGAGAGTGTCACGTTATATGGCTGATTAATTAAAGTTAGGCATACATAACATTGGAGTTTTTCTCAGTGGTCTACAAGATAATCATTTGCAAAGAGGTCCACATAGAAAATGGTTATGGTTAACTGAAAGCTGTATGATAGATAGTTTCATACATTTTTTACTTTATTCCTCAATGACCCATGTTTCCAGATGATTTTTTATGGGTCAATCTTGTCGAAGAACAACCAACGAATCTATTTTTACGAAATGAACTCCATAATTCCCATTCATCATACATTCATAACAGATAAAGAGAATGTCTAATTTTAACAAGCTTATCTTTGCAATTGCATAATTATAGTTTATTTGATTGGTTTTAGTCATTTTAGTAAATGAAAAGCTTAATAACTAAACAAATATTGTAGACAGACGAAACTTCCTTTCTTAAGTTTTTATTTAGGACAAACCTCTTTGAAGTCAGTTTTTCCTTCTTTGATTTGATCCATATAAGTCAACTATTACTGAGCTTATTTGAGGTATATTCATATCGATTTGTGTATTGATAGAACGAGTACTGTCTAATGTGTCTCGACCTAGTCTGGTAATATACTTTTTAGAGCATTTACCATTGAGATGGCTTCAGTTATCAAGCTGTTTGCACAAGCAGGTGGCTATCCGGACTCAGTAACTAAATAGGTAATGCAATGGTGTTTGAATTGAACGATACTGCGTTCGAGTCCCAGAGTGAACATCAACACAGATGCAGGTACATCCAGATGAATGAATTTCACGCTAAAATCTAAGACCTGTTCTCTTAAATCTGATTGGTTTGTTTATAAATTATAGTCTCACCGAAGAACCTTCAAAAAGTAGGAATTATGATAATTTCTTCTTACATAGATCATGATAGTTTCTGTTGAAAACTCATGTTGTGATCGATCATTAATTATTAACGGTGTTTCTTTTCTATATTGTACTGGTATGAATACTTTAAAATTAACCTATTTAATTGAAACGGATACATCTTTGTATAACTGTCAATGAATTCGTCCCACCCTACCCCCTAGAAAAAAATGTTTTCTTTTTTTCTTATTTGTTTACAGCATTGGAGATTAATTCAGAAGAGACTAAAGTAGCCAGTATTAAAGCTGAAATAATGGCAAATATAATCATTGAATTAACTAAGAAAGGTTAGTTAGATTTCATTTATCTCATTTCGAATTATTTTTAATAATTGATGTTAGAATTATAAATCACTCTTGATTTGATCTTCTTAGCTAATTGACTACCACGCACATATTTATTATTAAAACAAAGTAAAATGTTAGTTTATACAGTATGAATGTCTAAAAGAAATTACTTGATTTAGTAGTTAAGATCATGGGTCAATTAAAGTGGTTGACTATGAATACAGTGGTCTTGAGTGCTGTTAGAGGTATGAGAGCGGTTATCACTTCCCGGTTGCCCATACCGTGGAAGGGTTCTTCTGGAGGTACCTAAAATGGAAATTGGATTAGAGGTGGTCATAGTGACCTGAGAGCGTGACCGCAGCGCCCGACGGACAGCTGCTTGAGGTCAGTGATACACGACCTTTTTGTGAGTAGTTTTTGTGTTAGCTCCGTTCTTGTTGAGACCTTACCTCCGGAGACGGATGTCCGTGGGATAAGGCGAGGTGTGCATTTTTAGGGTCGACCTTTTCTAACCCTACCCCTCCTTTTGGGAAGGCAGCACCGCTGTTATGTTGGTTGTCTGAAGGAAACACCTTACTGCTGTCACACCTCTGTACAGTTAGCAGTACGACTTCGCCTTCGGATCTTGGATTTGTTGCTTTTAGTCTTACCGCTCTTCAACCGACCTGTCTGGCATGGTAGAACCTTGAGGAACGCTTGTTCCAGCCAGTATAGCTCAGTTGCTTCATCACGATAGGCAAGCCCGACCACCACGTCAAGGTAGCAACAACGGTCGGGTAATTAAAGTTAGACAACTATGGAAAACCTGGAAGCACTGAATTGATGTTCCGTCCTAGTATGGGATTCCTTAGTAGTGCACATCCACGATCCTGACTCACGAGATTCGAACACGGGCCCAATAGTCTCACATTGAATTCAACTACTTAATTATTATAATATCCGGAAAACCCCTCTGATTTTTTTTGATTTTTCAAACTTATAATTCAGTTAAGTTGAATAAGAAGTTTCATCAAAATTTCAATGTATTTCTTAATGAAAACAAAGAAGAGAATAATACTCATTACTTTGCCCCACATGAACATTACAGGTCATTTGATATTTACTAACAGTGTAATGAACGAATACACAGATGAGAACAACTAATTTATTGTATAATAGAAAATATGAGAAACATACTTTGAATAATTCATATGTCTGTCGGTATGAGTAGCAAACATCACTCTTATTCCGCCTTTAAATAGTCTTTCCTGTGGTGGTTCTACTCTCCGTGCCACTTTCTCTTTTGCCATAGTCTATATCACGTTTTCCGTCTAAATGTCGAGTCCGTCGGTGCGCTGAATTCTGTAGCAATGTCGACTAGACGGCAATCTAGTCTTGATGTTTGCCCAACAGCTATATGTCCTACTGCCCCTTTTAGTTGAGAGAAACCATTAATACCAATGCCGCTCCTCCAGAACACTCCATTCGATGTCACTCTCACACCCCAACTAGTGATTCTTCTTCAAACCCATCAACAGGGTCCGAAGAACTGCACTCTTCTCGGCTTCTCTTTGGCAGCGTCATAAGATATAACAAACGAACACACAGATGAGGACAACTAATTTATTGTTTAATATAAAATAACAGAATCTCTTGATAAAATATATGAATCATATATTGACTACTTCATTTGTCTGCCGACAGGAGTAGCATACACCATAACAGTTTTCAAGTATTTATACATGATAATTCAAATGTTTACTTCATCATATATAATGACGAATAGATAGTTAAAAGGTATAGGGTTAACCATTAAGGTACCAGTTATTAACAAAATGATATTAATGGTAATAATAATAGTAATAATAAATGTATAGTACAAGTACAAAATGTATGTTAAATGATGTATTGCACAGTATTTTTCTTGATTTTCTTCCAATATAACATTTTATATCTTTTAATGGTCCTGAAATATCTGACTTCAATTGAATGGTATAAATGATTGTTATTGACTTATAGAAATATACATTCTATCTACCGTTGTTGTATATAAGCATCGATTTAAATTGCATTAGTGATTAACAGAATTAAATAAGTCAAATATAAGAATGAATTTCGAATCTGTGTATTTCATTCAATTGTTAATCCAGACGAATAATTAAAGAAGAGTAGTGAAGTAAGCGATGAGAATTGAATGAAACAAAATAACCTACAGTGAAGAAAGCATGTAAACCAACTCGATTTAACTAAGAATTAATCAATAGTTATAACCGAACAAAAATAATTTACAAACATGTGATGAGTAAGATAACAAATGTGTACGCACTCACACACACACACACACATACATACATACACTTACATGAAAAAACAGTTAAGGTTGGTAAGTAAATAATTAACAAGGTCAACATATAGCTTGAAAATAATAAATAAATTGGTTTATCCAGAAACTAGAATAACCTATGTGGATTTAGCATAGCAACCGATACTATAGTCTAACAATGATTGACGAAAAATTCCTACTTTTTTTTTAAATTGATCTAATGATTAGAATGATAGTTTATGGTCAATATACTAAATGCATATTCATCATTCTTCTAATCAGTTATAATCGAAAGTTATATTAGCTCTGTCTAACCAAATGTATTTTTCAGGTAATCTGCTTACGACTGAACAGGCGATTATAATCGATTGATTTGTATTGAAATTATAATCTTGATTTACTTAAAAACAAAGATCGATAGAGGCTAGCAGAGAGATTGAAATGCTCATTTCGTTCAGCTGGATATAACTACATCTCAGAGTTGATGTTCACTCTAGGATTCCAACATCAACTTTGAGATGTAGGCACATCCGGATGACGAGTCTCAAATAGGACAAAACGCGTGTCCTGGATTCCACTGCTAGCCACCACGATCCATCTTTATTTAAAAAGCTTATGACTGAAGGCAATATCAAGGCCATACCCACAATATACACATATACCAATAAGAGACTGATCAGTTACAGTGTTAAACACCAGTGGGAAGATTCAAGTAAACAGTACCAAGTGAATTTAAACTTCAACTTATTGCACAAGCAAGTGGCTATCAAGACTCAGTAGCTTAGTGTATAATGCGATGACATTTGAACCGGATGGTACTGAGTTCGAGTCCTACTACCTACTATAGCTTTGGCAGAGAAAAATCATATCTACATCACCTTACCATTTAGAGGTGATTCAAATAGCCTTTCTACTGAAACAAAGGCTTACGTCAACATTAGGGTGTGTGGATATGTATCTAAATGATTGCAGAAACAAATAGAATCAAATGACCCAATAAGAGTAGAGAATAAACATCCATCATCCTCTATTGCTAAACACATGATTGAAACAGGTCATATGATTGATGTTAACTCGGGTTTTGGTGGTTTGTTGTACAAAAGTGTAAAAGGGCGTATACTGAGGTTTATTGAAGCCTTAGCCATACGAAGATCTAAACCCCACTTTGTGTATTCAAAAACACTTTGTTCTCAACTTAAACCTATCCTGGTAATATTGGTGATAAGTTTCCACATTGTCTTTCATATGATCTTCTTTATTATCCTTCTCTTCTCTTAACCTTCATTTCTTGTCTAATCTAGTCTAGTCTATTCTAGTCTAGTCTAGTCTAGTTCTTAACAAGTATATTATGTATGATCAGATTGTTTGAAATGTATTGCGCTAATATATTATCAGGACTTAGTAGATAGGTGGATAACGCGATGGGGTTCGAAGTGAATTGTACTGAGTTCGAGTCCCAGATTGAATAACATCACTGAGATGCAGGTACATCTAGTTGACCAGTGCCAAATAGGACGAAACATGCGTCAAACTGGATTCCACTGCTAGCTGTCACCATCCATCTTTGCTTGTAAAGCTTGTGACTGAAGGGAATATCGAGTTATCCGCGCTTATGCCAACAAGAGACTGATCAATTGCAGTTCTAAATAACAATGATAAAATCCAAGTAAGCCATACGTACTTGATCCAACGTTGTAGCTGACTGACTGATATTACTCATTTATACATTTTGTTCAATATTTATTATTAATAACTATGATTATTTAATACAGAATTATTAATACTTTCTAGGTTATCAAGTGAAAGATCCTGAATATGTACGTTATAATTATGAACATAAAACATTGTAAGTTATTTGTCTTTTATATATGGTTAAATGAATTTCATCTATTCAATAGTAAATTATAATAAGATTACTATTTTGTGATTTATATAAGAATCATAAACCATGAAGGTTCCTTCATTCTTAATTCTGGACATGTCATAATCATCCATTCATTTGACAGTAAAATGGTCGATGAAATTACTAGAACCATTACACCCACAATTAGTTGAGTATAGCATTAAAGGTGTATTTCAATTTGTGAATACAATTAAAAGATATTGAATATAAATGACAAAACTATGTTATCACTAGACAATAGCATCTTTGTTCATTAAGCTATATGGTTATGTAGAGTTGGAGGTTTGCCACTGATATGTTGAATGGTTCAGCATTAATTTGGCAAGTTTCTCTGATTGTTCATTCACAAAATTGGTTTGCTGGTTAATCAATTTCATTCATACTGGTGGTTGCTTTTCAGTGTTCTCAAGGGCCATTGTCATTGGGCCATTGTAAGGCATGTCGTCATTGTTAACATTAATGAGTTTGACTGTTGTGTAAGCGGGATAGGTCAACTTTGGCATGTTCGTACTGTGCATAATTGATTTACGCGATCATTGATCGGAATAATTATCATACATGTGATGTGAATGTGTATATGAATGGTGTGAATGGTCCATCAGGGTGCTTGGTACCTGTATGGTTGCTCCACAGGATTGAGCTGTACCACTCAGATTGTAGCGTTAAAGCCTATATGGTATCTGGTTGTCCTGTGACGTGGGATTGAGCTGTACTGCTCAGTTTATAAAATTTAATCCTGAGCGATGTCTGGTTCTCTAGGAAACGGGATTGAGCTGTACTGTTTTGGTTGTCACGTGAACTTGTGGATGGTGTTTGGTCCTCCTGAACCAACCAATGTAAAATCGCCCTAACTCACAAGGGTATATTATATAACTATAACTAACTTACTAACATCCCTTTGACTGAAACTATCGATTACATAAGTAAACAATTATTAGGAAAGAAAATAGCGATACCGATCACAGTAAATAACATAAAGGACCTTCTACTGAAATGTACTATGGATACCCATTTTATGTTTAACAATGAACTTTACAGACAAGTAGATGAAGTAGCATTGGGATCACCTGTAGGACCTATTCTTGCTAACATTCTTTAGGTCAAACTAGAAGATAGACTGTTGAGAGACACTCTGAATAATGTTGATATATAGATGATACACTAATCGTATGTGACGAAAATATCGACAAACAAGAGATGTTGTACTGTTTCAATAACGTTCATTCAGTTATTAAATTCACCAGAGTAGTGGAGAAAGACATTAAGATTATTTCATGTCAGAGAAACGTAAATTCATTGATGAAAGATCACTGTAACAGAAGATGGAATTTAGGATACGCGTTTTATCCTGTTTGTGGCTCATAAGTTGTATGAACCTCCATCTGCGAGTTCATGTTCCATCTGAGATTCGAATCCAGTACCGTTTCCTTCAGATGAGGAAGAAATGCGCATCCTGGATTCCACTGCTAACCATGATTCATCTTTGCTTATAATGCTTATGATTTAAGACAATATAGAGGCAATCTACACTGGAGATTGATCAGTTGCAGTCCTATACATCAATAGGAAGATACAAAAAACCAATACAAAAATCAATTATTTTTTAGATGGTTTTTACTCCTTAAAATTGCGGTATATTTTATTGGGCAGTACGAAGATCATTTCTGTTAATTCCATCCAGGAGTTATATCTTTGACAAATGAACTGATTTGCAGTAAATGGTTTACTTAGATTTCCATCCTCTTATCACTAGAGCATTAATGAATTAGTACTAATTTTGAAAACGAAGATAATCCTATACCTTGTAATGAACAAAATATGATTTATACAAACTAGTTATACATTTTATGAAAATACACGTTTACAAACAGTTACACAAATACCTATAGGAGAATAATACGTATCTGCATGTTCAATGGGTTCGGAACGAGTTCACATTTTACATACATGGAACTTTACCTCCGGGAAACAGTATATACACATGAATATTAAAACGATAAATGCATCAGGTATATGTATGAAACACTGCCTGTGGAATATATTCACACAGTATAATGGATTGATTAATGTTAGACCAGTACACCATTGGCTCACGGCTGAGTGGTTTGAAAGTTAAGCCTCCGTACACATGACCAAATGTTATGAGTTCGATTCCCAGCTTTGCGGTCGTGATTAAGCATCGTTGACGAATCCAATCGTTATCTAACTTAGACTGATTTGTGATTCCAATGAAATATTACAGGTCTTGCGCGCGAACGCTGAACCTCTTGACCACTGAGTCGGCATCCAACGGTTTTAATTTCTAACCTCAACCAATTCACGAAATCGCGCCACAATTTTCTCATAATAGGACGAATCGGCCGTCCAGTGCTTCAGTTTTTCAGATAACGATCTTTATTCTGTAGACAAGAATACAAATGTATGCTATATAAACTAATTATAATTTTATAGATGTCAACTATCTATTTATTCCATTCTATTAGTTCACGTAAATTGAAAATAATGGACAGTCAAGTTGTTGAATTACGTCAAGTTCCATGGACTGCTACACCAGCTACAATTGCTCATTATTTCACCGGTCTTAATGTGCATCCTGGTGGAGTAGCCATTCGATTGACAGATGGACGACGCAGTAATACTGCTATCGTGGCTTTCAGTGATTCGATGAATGCTCAACTTGCATTAGCGAGAAATCAACATCATTTGTGTGGTTCGTTGATGACAGAGATTGCAAATAATACATCGGATGTGCATAACACGTCATCATCATCGTCGTCGTCCTCATCGAACAATCATGTTACAAACAACAATAATCCCACCAATCAAAGTTGTGCTAATAGTCGGAGTGAGTGTTCGACTGATGGTATTCAACAAGTTATAAGTGGTTCAGTGAAACCGATGTACTTGCAAATTCATGCAGCTTCAGGGAAGGAATTTGTTCAGTGTGCTGGATGTAAGTGAAAATGATGTTTAATTTTTTTAAGTTTCACTGTTGTTCGATATGTTAATGAGTATGTTGATTGAAGTAGGGATTGTAGACGATTAAGTTTAGAACAAGATAGTGAGAGCTGAAGGAATGATTGTGTGGTTTGATGGTGTTGTATTTGATTGCTGATAGGATGGTTGTTGTAAACAATTGAGTTGGTAACCATAACGTACTAATTGTTATCATGTTTAATGAGTTATAGTGATTATCTAATTGAGATCAGTCTATCACGTAAACTATCTTTTAATAATCAATGGTGTATCTACAAGATTAGCCGAGTTAATCTTAGCTAATAGTTATCTATTTAATTAGTTCCAGGTTGATTGAATATGAAATAAGGCCAAATCATTGTAACTATATTACCATTATTATTGAACACGTACTAAATACATGCGTATAACAAGTTTTGTAACACTAATTACGTAATAACAACATGTTATATCTAGAGCTTAGATGTTTAATACATCGCGTATAACTTGAGCACTCGGTCCACGGATGAAATTGAGGAAGCTTTAAGAAGCTCAGAAAGAGCCGAAGATATCTCATCCTCGTTGCCAGTTGTTATATCTAGAGCTTAGATGCTGAATATACCGCGTATAACTTGAGAACTCGGACTCTAGAATCCTCCCAAGTCTCAAATGAGAAGACAGAACACTAATGAAAGGGATTTTATTCCAAACAATGTCAATTATGATACAAAATTGTCAGGTATTTATAGTTTTTAGTGAAAATCAAATCATCATTATAATTATCCAATCCGCACACAGGGGATTATTAGCATTTATCCAATAAGGAAGCTACACGTGATGATTTTGGACTATTCTTTCAAAAGCTGATTCGATATAAAATATCTTCAGCTGTTTCTGAGCTTTTTAGAATTTCCTCGAGTTCACCTGTGGACCGTCCTTACACAATACAAATAAGCAAATGAGGATATTAGAAAATTTATATAAAAAGTATCATCCTCTGTATTAAACTATGTAAAACGTTACGACTATTGATACTGATGTCGATTAAAAGTAATACTTTATAATCCCTGAAGTCATTTTGTCATCTCTTTCGAATGAATATTCTGTAGATTCATTAAAGGATACTAAATTCACATTCTTGTTTAATCCACAAGGCAGTGGAGCAACGTCAAGAGATGCAATCGCATGGAAGCCGTTAACCAACTATAGGTTCATATGTCGTTTGTTCGCTCAGGATACCGAAGCCCATGCGCACCATCGATTTGTATTTAGGGTTTTCTAGCTCCTCTAAGTGAACTTTCCGTATCCATCAACCCCGTAAAAGCATCGGACATTCGCTTTTCGTCCTTCCAATTTTGAAAGCAACACTCCCACCATGAGAATGCAGTGAGTAGGAAATGGAATCAATATTGCTGTTAACATGATCCCAGTACTAGTATTTAAACTGATATGAATTCAAGAAAGTTTATTTATTCACTGAATTAGCAACTTACATTATGTTGTAAAACGTAAAAAAATTCAACCTACTACTTATAAATGTGGTATGTGCTACTGATATCGATAGATATAAGTAGTACATATCATTATTCACAAGTGAAATGCCTGGTGTCCATAAGTTAAGAAAATTAAAGGTAAAAAAAAGAATGACAACAAAAAAATGCTTATTGTGGAATCGAATGAATAATCAAATATAAGACGATTGATTGATATTTTATAAATGAATTATTTACCGTATGGTTCTAAGATTTTACTAGAAGGTTCTGTAATTTATGTGTTCAAATATATTTGACTGTTCCCATTCGTGTTCTCATTCACTATATAACGACATTAAGAATATATCACTATTATTTTATTTCCATTAGTAATATATTCACTTTCAAATATGCTTAAAATCATCATATTAAATCTTGACAGTTACTGTCGACAGTTATTAACGACTATTTGAAACTTTATATAGAAGAGTGAATAAGATTAACGTAATCGGTGAACGTCAATTAACGATTTTACATCAGATATTAAGAGTGGTTAACAAATCCTTAATATGGTCAAAATTCTCTGAAATGCAAGAAAACAACGGCTCATTACATCCTATTTTTGTTTAGTGACCATCTATCTAACTCACCACTTGATAGAGGTTATTATTAGGGAAATTAAACAATTTTTTGAAAACTAAATCTGTACTTACCACGAGCAGCTTCAAAGATACTATGGAGATGATGTTCTTTATATTCCTTTTGTTCAGTGATTCCTTTGCTACGAACATTTTGATCATCATCATTAGAATTATTGAAGTGGAATAGAGATTGTTGACAAAATTCAACTAAATCTATATATATTGACCAAGGTGAACAATTTATCAATTCATGATCTATATTACGATAGGCAGCTTCAGCATGTATTACATTTCGTATAGATTGATGATTTTCTGCGATAAGTAAGATATTAGACTTGTCCATTGGTAATAGATCATCGAATACTCCATGATCTTTTAACCATTGAGAAATCTGTAATTTAAAATTTCAATAAAACTACTTATATTACAGAGCAATATAAGTCAGAATTCGTTTATTAATTGTGATTAAATACAATAGATGGTTATAATGGAAGAATACTAGAAAGTATTGCACTGTAAGGTATTGGACTGTAAAAATGGTCGGTCGGTGTTAAACTAGAGATAAAGATTTAATCTATTTTTATTATTTCAAACGCTCCAATTTATGTTGTTGACATAATTATCATCTGAATATTGAAATAGGAAGAATTAAATTTAGGAATGTAAAGTCATATTCACTGATTATTCAAAGTTTCAACAAGAAACTTTCGATCTAGGTTTCGTGCTATTTGGTATATATACTTATAATCTTGAGGGAACTGATGCTCCATAACGGATTTAATCTCGTGTCACAGAGATTCACATTCAGAGACGTGAGCACTGAGTCATCCATACCTGACATAGGTTCAGGGTTTCCTATTGACTACCTCCAAATATCATCTTATCGCAATATAGTACACGCAATATTAAATCATCTAGACTGGTGGACTCATTTCAACTTGGTCGATAGGAATAGATCTGAACTAAGAATAACCTGATATACATGACATTTCATCACTACATAGTGATCAATTAATTGTAAACTGTCATTTATTTACGCTTAAATAATTAGTCTGAAATAAAAAATACCATGATTGTCTTCTACTTCAGCTTTATATGTGGTAAATCGTTGAATTTCCCTACGAAAATAGATTATTATTTACAACAATCAACTGTAGTCAAACTATTCAGCGTATACTAATTCAGTCAGAGTCAGTCAGTAACAACGTAGAACTTCGTACGTACGTACATCAGTCACAGTTGCCAAACCACATTAGCACAGAGGTGCATTTGTCGATTCAAATCCCGTAGTGGTAGAGGTAGTAAAAGTTTAAGGAGTAATTGGAAACATTAGGGTTTGAAAATGTTATTCAAGGAGTATAATCCAGTGAAATAAATGTGGAAAAAGGAAAACGAAAGCGACATGAAGAATTCAGAAGATTAGAATTCGTCCATCTGATGAATAGATCAATTCGAGAGTGCATAAAAAAAGTATATTTCAAGAGATTCAAACAGTATGAATTTACTTTTAATCCAAATGAAATAGATGATATTGAAAAGTTATACTTTACTTTGAACAGAGTACATATTAAGACTTTAAAATCTCACTGGTAATATGAGAGGCTAAGAATATCTCTTTTGGTTTATAATTCACTAAGTTCTTCGGTCATTAGTTAGACATTAAAACAATAGGATTCTGGCTCAGTGATCTAAAGGCTAAGAAATCGCGCACCAGACCAAAAGTTCTGGGTTCGAGTCCTGCATACCGAATCGTGGATGCGTAATTATGAGGAGTCCCGTACTAGGACAAAACAGCTGTCCAGTACTTCCAAGTTTTCAATGGTGATCTAACATTGATCCATTCATGATATCAATCCAAATTCAACAATCTCCACAACCCTATACTGATATTAAGTAAATATTGGTTAACTTACTGAATAATGTAGATTTTATAGGAATTAAAAACCGCTGGATTATAAATACTAACATAGAAAAATTGCAAAAAAAATGTACAGTAGTTTTCATACATATAATTTTTTAGTCGTAATCTATTAACTCTCTTGTAATATGCAGCATTATTGGTGGGCGGCCTAGGCTCGTTCATGAGGAGTAACAGTCATAAGTAAGTAATATGCAGCATTGACTACTGAAGCACTACAATTGGAAATCTTTTTTTCAGTCGTTCATAGTTGTTGTAGGAAAACTTTCACTTAGAATAAATTACACGTACGGAATTTCTAGAATGTTTTAATCTATAATTATATTAGATTTTTAATATACCGCATATAACTTGAGCACTCAGTTCACGGGTGAACTTGAGGAAGCTTTAAGAAGCTCAGAATGAGCCGAAGATATCTCATCCCCGTCACCAGTTGTTATATCTAGAGTTTAGATTTTTAATCTACCGCGTATAACTTGAGAAATCGGACTCTAGATAGAAGAAAAGTAGAAGGAATTTTATTCCAAACAGTGTTAATTATGATACAAAATTGTCAGGTATTTATAGTTTTTAGTGAAAATCAAATCATCATTATAATTATCCAATCCGCACACAGGGGATTATTAGCATTTATCCAATAAGGAAGCTACAAGTGATGATTTTGGACTATTCTTTCAAAAGCTGATTCGATATAAAATATCTTCAGCTGTTTCTGAGCTTTTTAGAATTTCCTCGAGTTCACCCGTGGACCGTCCTTACACAATACAAATAAGCAAATGAGGATATTAGAAAATTTATATAAAAAGTATCATCCTCTGTATTAAACTATGTCAAACGTTACGACTATTGATACTGATGTCGATTAAAAGTAATACTTTATAATCCCTGAAGTCATTTTGTCATCTCTTTCGAATGAATATTCTGTTGATTCATTAAAGGATACTAAATTCACATTCTTGTTTTTCATTTTATAATACTGTTTCATCAAACGAAACTCGATATAGAATCCTTCTTGAAGGCATACTTAAGACTTGTTAAAGTCGGTGAAGTTGATGTTATTATATAGTAGAAGAATATTTTCTCCTTTAGTAATGGATCTACACTTTAATTACTATCTTATACCTTCATTGTAGCTGTTTTCGAATACCAATAAAAATAGCTTTACAAAGGGACCATCAGAGATCAATTTAGTCTCCAACATGTCATCAACAGAACATGCAACGGTCATTTGACATCATTTCAAATGATTAATGTTCAAGTATCTATGGTAAACTAAAGACATAATCACTGTAATGAAATCTAAAAAAAAAAATTAAATTCTATCCATTATGAGCTAATTCCTAATAGACTTAACATAATCTATACAGTGTGATGGTAGCCAATATTTTAGATACAATTTATGGTCTATTCATAATACCAAATTAAATGAACCGGATGGCGAGACTATAGTTTATGGATGAACCAATCAGATTTAAGATAACAGGTCTTGGATTTCGGCGCGAAATTCATCCACACATTTGGCTAAATAGAGTTTTGATGAAAACCTTAAATCTAATTCCCAAACCTGTCCATCAATTGTAAATCACTGTCTTTATTCTTCAAACTGCTTTATAACTTTCATTTACCCCTATTAAGTAGGTAGACACTCTCATGGTCATTTTAGCATCGCTCAAAAGTTGTCCAAAAATTATAGTCTCAATGAAACCTTATCAAGATTGAAGTCTTCAATCAATTTACTGAGCTAATAAACCTATTAGTCATGATGTAGTGAACGAAACACAAGTGAGGACAATCAAATGTATTCGAATACAAAATTATAGAATGTCTTTATAAAATCTCAGAACCATACAGTAGTAAATGCTTGATTTGCAAAATGTCAATCGATCATTTCAGACTTCATTATTCCTGCATTTTTATAGCAATTGCTTTCTGTTTTCATTCTTTCCTCCACGATCTTCTTGGGCTTCTATTTCTGACTATTTTTATATACTACTTATATCGATATGAGTAGCACATACCACAATCGATTCAAATCCCATTGATTTCATCAAAGTTTAAGCAACTGGATAATTTGGCTCATATCAATATCATACATTCAACATAAGTTCGAGTACATCCATCTATTTTAGCTTACAAAAAACTACTTATCATTGTATTTACTACTTAAATGTAATGTACATAATCAATTAAAGATATCTAATATATCAGAAGGGGTTTTGTGGAGATTGTAGTGATTCCAATCATTAAAATCATGAGTCAGTTGAAGCTAGACCACCATGGAAAACCTGGAAGCACTGGACGGCCGTTTCGTCCCATTGTGTGGCTCCTCAGCAGTGCGCATACACGACCTCGCCCCCTGCGAGATTCGAACCCAGAACCTACTGGTTTTGCAAGCGAGCACTTAACCACTAGACCACTGAGCCGGCATCCAACGGTGTTAATGTCTAACTTCAACTAATCCACGAAATTGAGCGACACATCCACCATTGTCTTCAGTGAGTTTCTATCCCACAACAGACCTGGTTGTACTCCACTGGTCACTACTTCTCACTAGAACTCCAGGATATACCTCTTGAAGCCAGTCACTAGTGAGCGTATGAATGAGAAATTCCATGAAGCATAATGTAATCAAAATATGTTTCGTAATATTTATTTCTCTTGTAGCTCTTCTAGAGTTACTGTCGATCTTAAGTCCAGATGAAGTAGGAGGGTTGGGCATGAGATCAACATCTCCATCCCGTAAAAAAAATCTTACTAAAAAACAACATCAACCAGTTTAAATCATTTAAATTCTGCCCTTTAAAGTTAAAGGAAGAATTATGACACGTTAAGATGAAAGCCAAGATTCTTTGGAAATCACGTGGTCGATGTCCCTTTCTAACAATCAGAGCAACAGTTTTTATAGGTACATGGTAAGTAAGTAAGTGAGTAAGTAAGTAAGTGAGTAGGTCAGTAAGTGAGTAAGTAGGTAGGTAGGTAAATAAACCAGGGAGTAAGTGATTAAGTAAGTAAGTGAGTGAGTAAGTGGGTGAGCAAGTAAGTAAGAATGTAAGTACGCAGGTAAGTAAGTAAAGTTAATGAGTGAGTAAGTAAGTAAGTAAGTAAGTGAGTAAGTAAGTAAGTAATTAAGTGAGTAAGTAAGTAAGTGAGCGAGTAAGTAAGTAAAGTTAGCAAGTAATATTTATTCTATTTGATAAATACTACTATAATTATTTAAAGTAATATTACATTATATATTTATTATATTGTATATAGGTGATCAAGAATCTGTTATAAACTTTTTAAATCAATTAACAAATGGTGAACAAGTTGTAGTACGTGTACGTGGTCTACCATATACAACATGTAAAAAACAAATTGTAAGTTTTAATAAACAATTCTATTCATTATTTTAAATAAAGAAAAAAAAATACATTGTATAAATGATAGTTTTAAGATACCTGGTTCATATGAACCGATGTAATTTGCATTTACTTACTTGTTTACTTACGCCTATTACTCCTCATGAAGGAACTTAGGCCGCCCACCAGCACTGTCTATCCAACGTTATCCTGAGCAATTATTTCCAATTGTTTCCAGTTGTTATTCATCCTATTCATATGTGCTTCTATTTCCTGATGTAATGTATTCTTTAGTTTTCTTCATTTCTGTTTCCCTTCAGGTGTCCATGTTAGGGCTTGTTTCATGATGTAGTTTGGTGATTTTTGTCATGCAGTTAGCAATTATTCATATAACAGTCTAGTTCAATTGATCACGATTCCAAAATTATGTCTAAAAGAAAACAAAATTAAGTTAGACACTTATTTTTCATTTATTTTTATCATTTTATCTGATATTGTCAACTGTACTAATGTTTGTTTCGAATGAACCAAGGTATTGACTTAATGATCCTTACAGTAATCATTTCTATAGTACCACTGATCAATTGGATTAGTGAAAGAAAATTGTAACAATACATTTTGAATAACGATTGAAATTAATTCTATCCTGAATAACTCTTATATTCATGTAGTTACTGGTTAATGTGTTTATAGAAAGGTTCTTTTCTATGAAATGAGTATAATAATATTTCACCCGTTCGGGTTTTGTAATCTCCACGACCAACCCTTCTCACGTCCATTTATCACCTCGCCCCGCTAGTGCGAACGATTCGAGTACGCGGAATGTTATTCCTGGTCTCCTGAAACCACGCTCCAAACTACACGTAGGAGCTTTCAACGTCCGAATACTGTGCCAAATAGGCAACAGGCTTCCTTAGCTAGAACTTAAGAATCTCGCGCCATCCATGTGTGCTGCGTCTCCGAAACGTGTACACAGGATCCTAGTAGTGTCATTCATTTGACCTCACCATGTCAAAATAACGAACCAACTCAATTCACGCTTCGTGTTTCTGGAAGTCCTGATGCTGCTTCCCGTGGCCTTGCTGGCGTAAGTATAGCATTGAGTCCTAGAGCAGAACTAGCTCTCTTAGGCTGGATCCCAGTAGACAGTCGTTTGTGCGCTGTCCGACAAAACGGAACAGTAAGGACTCGGAAAGATAAGGACACTCGTCGTTGCCTCTTCGTCGTCTCTGCCTACTCTTTCACTGACTGCAGCTCAGATGATTTAAAAGATGAGTTTTACAGAAAGCTTTCCGACCTTCTCCAAAAAGCTAGGCGTTCAGATGTAGTAATAGTGGCTGGTGACTTTAATGCTCAAGTAGATAAACTAAGCGAAAGGGAAAGACACCTGGGTGCACCTTATGGTGTCGCGGCTCAAAGGATAGATAACGGCGACCGTCTGTTGCAGCTATGCTCAGATGACATCCTATTTCTTGCAAATACTAACTTTAAGCATAAGGAAAAACATCTTTTGACATGGCGACCCCTTAATTCGTCCCAACGTTGGACTCAAATAGATCACATCGCTATCAGCCACCGATGGAGGGGCTCGATAGAAGACTGTTGCTCATTCTGGAGCACATGCTTAGACTCAGATCATGCTCTAGTGCGAGCGCGTATTTGTCTACGTCTTACTGGACGTAGGAAAGATGGTGCAAGGAAACCCCTTAGGATCCTACTTAATGATAGTCAAGCTAAGAGTATATTTGAGGAACGACTAGAAAAACAGTTAGGCAGCCATGTAAGTGATGCCCACCCCGAGGCAGCGTGGAATGACATCCGAAAAGCTGTAGAAACAGCAGTGATGTCTGCAAGTACGGTAAACCATAAGGTTAGGGAGAAACTCTGGATCTCAGTAACATCTACCGCACTGATAGATGCTCAAAAACTCATTCCATCTGGCTCTGAACATAACGAAGAGCGGAGTCAGCTTAAGCGTAAGCTGACTAGAAGCCTACGCATTGATCGTGAACAGTGGTGGGTAGCGAAAGCAAGATAGATGGAAGAGGCAGCAGCAATAGGTAACAACAGACAACTGTTCAAACTTGTTAAGGAAACCGGTATTAGGAACACAACTGTTAGCAAAACCATCTCAGAGAAAGATGGACATATTATTCATTCTCAATCCAGGAGATTGGATTGATGGGCAGAACACTTTAGGGATTAGTTCAACTGGCCTCCAGCAACACTTCGGTTTCCCACGATCTCCAGTCGACCTGAATGTCAAGTTAATGTAAGTCCTCCGACTCTTTAAGAAGTTGAAAAAGCTATAGGAAATCTGAAGCGTGGGAGAGCAGCAGGCCCTGACAGGTTTACCCCTGAGATTTTTAAGGATGGTTGTTCTGTTATAGCAGCGAGATTGACTTAGGTCTTAGGTAGAATCTGGGAAATGGACGTAATCCCATCTGACTGGTCTCAATCACTGATTGTGCCAGTCTATAAGAAAGGACAAAAGTCTTCTTGTGACAATCACAGAGGAATCAGTTTGACTAATATAGTGTGTAAAATATTAGCTTCAATAATACTTCGACGTCTAACCAAAGCTCTTGAAGAGCAGACTAAAGAAAACCAGGCTGGTTTTCGACCTGGACGTGGTTGTATAGATCAGATATTCACACAACGTCAGGTCCTAGAACATAGACACACATTCAGACGCCCCACAATAGTCGTATTTCTCGACCTTAAGACGGCATTCGATTGTGTTGATTGTGAGGTTCTATGGCAGTGTTTGTCACTTAAAGGAGTACCAAAGAAGTACATTAACCTTATAAAAGCTCTCTACTAGAACACAACTGGTCGAGTGAGAGCTTATAGCGAACTGTCATCAGAATTGATTATCTCAAGTGGTGTTCGTCAGGGCTGTCCACTCTCCCCATTCTTGTTGAACTTTGTCGTTGACGTGCTTTTAGAACTAACACTTTCCACATCTAACTTTTCAGGAGTTGAACTTCTACCGAAAGATTCACTTGTTGACTTAGAGTATGCCGATGACATAGTTCTATTTGGTGAAGACGCTGACAAAATGCAGAATCTGCTGATCACTCTAAGCAACAATGCAAGCATGTTCGGCATGCGATTTTCTCCCTCGAAATGCAAAATGTTACTTCAGGATTGGGTTGCGTCGACACCCGAACTAGTGATAGGGAGTGAAGTAGTTGAGCGTGTCGACCACTTCACTTATCTCGGAAGTCTCATCAGACCTTGTGGTTTGGTGTGTGACGAAATCTCAGCACGGATACAAAAGGCTCGACTAGCTTTTGCCAACTTGCGTCATTTGTGGCGTAGGCGAGATATCCGTCTATCAACCAAAGGACGTGTTCACTGCGCAGCAGTTCGTTCCGTCCTACTTTATGGCAGTGAAAATTGGCCAGTAAGAGTAGAGGATATTCGTAGGTTACTAGTATTTGACCATAGGTGTCTTCGAAACATCGCTCGTATATCCTGGGACCACCGAGTAAGTAATGCAGTTGTTAGGAAACGGGTACTAGGTAAGGAAGATAAATCAATTGATGAAGTAGTGAAACTTAATCAATTGAGATGGTTGGGATATGTGCTGCGCATGCCCGACCACCGACTGCCCCGACGTGCTATGTTTTCTGGTGTAGGAATAGGTTGGAAGAAAGCTAGTGGCGGCCAGACCAAAACATGGCACAAATCTATGAAGTCACTGACAAGTGGACTGAGCCATGTTGGTAGGTGTAGATTACGTGGTTGGGAACCGCGAGATGAAAGCAACCGATGGTTAGAGACCTTGAATGACATGGCTCAAACTCATTTTCAATTGTGTGAGCAGGTGAATCCACTATCTGTGTTCTCTCAAACTCTAATCTTCTGAATTCTTCATGTCCTTTATTTTCTTTCCCAATTTATTCCACTGGACTATACTCCTTTAATAACATCATCAAACCTTCATGTCCCCTATCTCTACTTATACTTTCAGTACCTCTACCACTATGGGATTTGAATCGATAACTGAATCTCTGTGCTAATGTGGTATGGCAACTCGAACTGATGTACGTACGTATGAAGTTCCACGTTGTTACTGACTGACTGAAGACTATAATTTATGGACGAACCAATCAGATATAAGATAACAGATCTCGGATTTTGACGCGAAATTCATTCTACCATTTGGAAAAATAAAGTTTTGGCATTATATCAAATGTCATTTCATCATGAAAACCTTAAATCTAATTCCTCACATGCTGGTTTATAACCCTCATTTAGTCTTAGTTTATTAGGTGAGGGACACTCTCAAGGTCACTATGGTATCACTCAACCATTCTTATTCTATAATAAATTTCACTGATTGAAATCATGAGTCAATTGAAGCTAGATCACCATGGAAAACCTAGAAGCACTAGATGGCCGTTTCATCCTAGTATGGGACTCCTTAGCAGTGCGCATCCACGATCCCGCCCTCCGTGAGATTCGAACCCAGGACCTATGAGTCTCTCCCGCGAGCGTTTAACCATTAGACCACTTAGCTGGCTGGTATCAAACGGTGTTAATGTCTAATTTCGTGAATGAGCACTGCTGAGGAGTCCAATACTAAGACGAATCTCCATAAAACCCTTTCTAACTATAGTAAATTGTTAATTAATTAATCGATTACGTAATTATTATCTATTGTAATACTTTAAACTTAGATTTTTCTTATATTACTTTTTCAGCATAATTGATTACATCGTGTTATATTACATAATATACACATTTAATACAATTCTATACATGTAATTAATAATGATAATAATAATAATATACAATTGACTTTTGGTGAATGGTTTATTATTATGTTTTTTGTATTTTTTTTGTCATTGGTATACTTTAGGATTAGTTGTGTTGAAGGTGATCATGTTGTCCTTTCTTTGTTGTTAATCCATTGAATCTGATGGATTGTCATGTTTTATAGGTGTGTGTGTGTGTTTCTACTATACTATGATCATATTGAACATATTGAACATTGTGTTTCAATCTAC